CGAGCCAGACGCGTTGGTGCTTCTCGTAGATTTGGGCGCCCCAACGGCCGTTGGGTTGGGGGACGACGCCTTTGTACTGGGAGGGGAGCTTCCTTGATTCGGCCTCGACGTCGGTCTTGGGGTCGAGGACGACGCTAGAGCCGCCGCTTCCCATGCGCTGCAGCTGGTCGGTGCAGGGGTCTTCGAAGAAGACAATATTGATGAAGAGGTTGGATGGTTTGGGCTCCTCTTGTTTACCTCCCAGCCGATCAATGCCCATAAGAGAGATAAAAGGTATTATAGCCTTTACCTGTGTAAAATTCTTGGACTTTGTGTTTTAGGGGCTCAGAGAACAAAAAATTTATTTTTAGGGGTAAAGCACCATTTGAAAAAATCTTAGGGTGGGAGGCACATTTTCTTTGGTTTTGGGGGCTGAAAGCATTTTTCTCTTTATTTTAATTTATGTGATTATAATGGTGTCTTTTCAAATGTAATCTTGGTTTTGGCCCAATGACCACTAATTAAACATAATTCAAAGTTCACTATTTTCATGAGATGTAACTCATGAGATCGTGAATTTTAAAAGTCCACGCAAATATTTGTCATTGGGCCCAAAACAACGAAAATAAACAAAAATCTTGAGTTACTATATGCCATGAAATCATGAATTTTGAACGTCGGATAATTATTTGTGATTGGATTAAAACTAATGAAAATGAACAAAAATCGTAGGTAATAGCTTATGAAAAGCATGAATTATGGACTTCCCTTAATTAATCTCCATTTGGTTGAAAAAAATGAACAAATTCGTAGATTATGATTTATGAAATCGTGAATTTTGAACACCGCATAGTTATATCATTGATCGAAACCGATAACAATGGACAAATTTTAGATAGCTCATGAAAATTGTGAATTTTGAACTCCACGCAATTATTTTCCATTGAGTCGAAACGAATGAAAATTAACAAAACCGTGGGTCATAGCCTATGAAATCATGAATTTTGAACTTGGCATAATTAATCGTCATTGTGTCGATATGAACAAAAATGTATAAAAATTGTATGTTATAGGTCATAAAAATCATGAATTTTGAATTACGCTAAATTATTTCTCATTCGATCTAAGTAAATGAAAATTGAGAAAAATCATGGGTTATAACTCATGAAAATCGTGAATTTCAAAGTCCACTTGATAATTTGTCTTTCGATCAAAACGAACGCAAATGAACAAAAACCATGGGTTATAGATCATGAAATCGTAAACTTTAAACTCCGGACAATTATGTCACTGGGTCCAAACCAATGACAATGAGAAAAAATCGTGGATTACTATAGGTCATGAATTGTGAATTTGAAGCTCCATAATTATTTTCCATTGGACTGAAACCAATGAAAATGAACAAACTAGTGGGTTATATCTTATGAAATATTGTGAATTATCGATTCCCCTTAACTATTTTTCATTTGATTGAAAACAAAAGAAAATGAGCAAAAATTATAGATTATAGTTCATAAAATCGTGAATTTTAAACATTGCATAATTATTTGTCTTAAATCGGAACGAATGAAAATAAGCAAAAAAAATTAGGCAGCTCATAACAGTCATGAAATTTGAACTCTGCACACTTATTTTTTAACTGGGTCAAAACACACGAAAATGAACAAAATCGCAAGTCATAGCTTATGAAATCGTGAATTTTAAACTCCGCTTAATTATCATTCAGTCGAAATTGATGAAAATAAACAAAAATCATGAGTTACAACTGATGAAAATGATGAATTTAAACTCCGCTTAATTACTTGCTATACGATCGAAGCGAATAAAAATGGAGAAAAATCATAGGTTATAGCTCATGAATTCATGAATTTGGGGGTCCGCTTGATTATTGGTCATTCAGTTGAACGCACGAAATGGCAAAAAATGGATTACAGCTCATGAAAAGGGTGACTTTTGAACTCTACATAATTATTTGTCATTTTGATCTAAGTGAATGAAAATGGAGAGAAATAAAAGCTTATAACTCATAAACGTAATCATAAAAATCATGAATTTTGAACTTTGGCTGATTGTTTACCATTAAGTCAAATTGAACAAAAATAAAAAAATTATGGGTTAAAACTTCTAAAATTGTGAATTTTGAACTTAATTATTTGGCTTTGGGTCAAAGGAACGACAATGAATAAAAATCACATGTTATAGCCCACGAATATCATGGATTTTGAATTCTGCTTAATTATTTGTCATTCGGTCGAAAAGAACAAAAACGAACAAAAATCGTGGGTTATAGCTAATTAAATCATGAACTTTGAACCTCGCATAATTATTTGTCATTAGGTCAAAACGAATAAAAATGAACAAAATTATAGATTAGTGTATGGAAATTTTGAGTCAAAACAAACAAAAAATGGAGAAAACCTATAGGTTATAACTCATAAAATTAGTGAATTGTGGACTCCGCTTATGTATTTTCCAATTGGTCAAAATGAATGAAAATAAAGAAAGTCATGAGTTATAGCTTATGAAAATCGTGAATTTTGAAATATAGTTAATTATTTGTCATTCAATCAAAATAAACGCAGATAAACAACATTTGTAGGTTATAGGTCATGAAATCGTGAATTTTGAACTCCATATAAATATCTGCCACTAGATTAAAACTAATAAAAATGGACAAAAATAATAGATTATAGCCATGAAACTCGTATTTTTGAACTCGGCATAATAATTTGCCATTCGATGGAAATGAACACAAATGAATAAACATCGTGAGTTATAGCTCACTAGAGTTTTGAACTCCACATAATTATTTATCATTATATTGAAATAAATAAAAATAGACAAAAACCGTGGGTTGTAACTAATGATATCGTAAATTTTGAATTCCGCTTAATTATATGACATTTGATCAAAATGAATGAAAATAGAAAAAAATCATGGGTAGCTCATGAAAATTTGTAAATCTTTGAAGTTCGCTTAATTATTTGTCACTCGATCTATACAATCATAAATGGACACAAATCATGGATCACAGATAATGAAATCGTGAATCTTGAACCTGCATAATTATGTCATTGGGCCGAAACTAACGAAATGAACAAAATCACGTGTTCTTATACATCATAAACTCGTGAATTTACTAAGTATAATTATTTGTCATTGGATCTAAACCAATGAAAATGAACAAAATTATGGGTTCTACCTCAAAAAATCATGAATTTTGAAGTTCCCTTAATTATTCGCTATTCGATTGAAGCAAATGAAAATGAATAAAAATCGTGGATTTTAGCTTGTGAAAAAAATCGTGAATTGTGGACATCGCATATTTATTTGTCATTGAGTTGAAACCAATAAAAATGGACAAAAATCTTGGGTAGCTCATGACACTCATACATTTTCTAACTCCACAAGTTTATTTTTCATTGGGTTGAAACGGATGAAAATGAACAAAAATCATTGATTATAGCTTATAAAATCATGAATTTTTAACTCCGCATGATCATTTGCCTACGGGTCGAAGGAAAAAATGGATAAAAATTGTAGGTTATAGCTTAAGAAAATCCTAAATTTGAACTCCGCTTAATTATTTTTCATTAGGTCGAAAACAACAGAAAATGAACAAAAATCATGGGTTATAGCCCATGAAAATCGTTAATTTTAAACTCCCCATAATTATTTGACGTTCGGTCAAAATGAATGAAAATGAACAATATTCGTGAGTTATAGCTCATGAAATCATGAATTTTAAACTCCGCATACCGTTGTGTCAAAATAAATAAAATTGAAAAAGATTGTGGGTTATAGCTCATGAAAATAGTGAATTTTGCACATCTCTTAATTACTTGTCACTCGATCAGAATGAATGAAAATAGAGGAAAAAACATGAGTTATAACTCATAAAAATTCATGAGTTATAACTCATAAAAATTGTGAAGTATGAAGTTTGCTTAATAATTTATCATTCGATCATAACGAACACAAATGGACAAAAATTATGGGTTATAGATCATGAAATCGCAAATTTAAGCTCCATATAATTATTTATTATTAGGTCCAAACAAATGAAAATCAACAAAAATTATGAGTTATTATAGGTCATGAAATCGTGAATTTTGACCATCGCATAATCATTTGCCATTGAATCGAAACGAATGAAAATGGACAAAAGTATTAGGTAGCTCATGAAAATTGTGAATTTTGAACTCTGTATACTTATTTTCCATTAAGTCGAAACAAATGAAAATGAACAAAAATTGTGAGTTATAACTCATAAAAGCGTGAAATTTGAACTCGGCTTAATCATTTGTCATTCGGTCGAAATGAAAAGAATGAACAACACTTGAGGACTATAGTTCATAAAAATGATGAATTTTGAACTCTGCTTAATTAGTTGCTCTATGGTTTAAACAAAAAAACATGGTAAAAATTGGTGGGTTATAACTCATGAAAATCTTGAATTTTGAACTATGCTTAATTATTTACCATTCGGTCAAAACTAACAAAAATGAACAAAAATCGTGGGTTATAACAGAATTCATAAATTTTAAACTACGCATAATTATTTGTCACTGTGTCGAAACAAACAAAAAGCATGAGTTACAACTAATGAATATCATGAATTTTGAACTCCGCTTAACTATATCCAATTCAGTCAAAACGAAAGAAAATGAAGAAAAATCGTGGGTTATAGCTTGTGAAAATCGTGAATTTTGAACTCCGCTAAATTATTTGCCATTACGTCAAAACCAACAAAATGAACAAAAATCATGGTTATGTCTCATAAAAATCGTGAATTTTGAACTCAAGTTAATTATTTGACATTCGGTTGAAATAAACAAAAATGAACAAAAATCATGGGTTATAGCTCATAAAATCGTAAATAGCTCATGAAATTGTGAATTTTGAAATCCACATAATGTCGTTGGGTTATAACAAATGAAAAGAATAAAAATTGTGGGCTATAGATCATAAAATCATGAATTTTTAGCTCCCCTTTATTATTTGATATCAGGTCGAAATGATCAAAGTATGTTTGCATATTACAAAACTTCTATTTACAAATTTTCTTCCGGCCATCTCCTTTGTAGTGAATTTTCAAATACAAGAGTTAAACATTCACTGATGTTCCTTCTGAGTCGAAGTTTGTTAGTTAGGTTTTAATTACTGGGTAGCAAGCATATTATTTTTCAATAGATACATTCTTAAGTTTATCTATTTTCTCTGGTAATGTCTAGCCAGGCAAGTCCCTGTTCAAGTTCCAGCAGGAAAAATACTGCACTAGTCATTTGCTCAAAAATCTAACCTACTGATGACTAAGTAGGGGAAAAGGCAAATATAAAAAATAAGTGAATGCACAGAGCTAATGGTCAAAATATACTGAATCAGATACGAGGTATAGATGGATTTATCTACTTTCATATCCATAGAGAACTTTGTACCTCAGCATCATTAAAACCATGGGAAAGAACATGAATTTCTAGTACCTTCTACTCTTGTAAAAGATCCCACATCCATCACGTTTCTGCCCATCTCTTTGAACATAAATACAGGAATACCCATGGCTCTCCATGTTGCTTTTGTAAAAGGTATCATATTCATCTAATTCCTAAACATCAAATGGTAGATGAAAATATATCAATTGGAGAACCAGAAACAGAGAGTACAGATATCATGTTAGAAAATCATGGTATTGTTAAGCTTATAGACCGTGAAGCAGGGGCAGGAATACAACATACTGATAAGGGACACTATGTACATTGCAGTAAGGTAAATTTTTGAGGAAAAAAGGCCATGGGCAGGACATTAATATTAAAAAAATTAATATATTGTACACGCACAACCCACAAATATGGATGCAGCGTGGACATAGCCACAGTGGTGTGCGCGCGCGTTTGCATGCGTGTGTCTGTCTGTTGCTGCTCATTATCTCTAGCATGAATTTGGAAGGACAAGATGGTTAAATGAGCACAATATCTAGATTATGAATTATTTCTAAGTTAATAAACCACCCATTTGTAAACATCATGTAGCTCATGGAGAACCAAATAATTACATAAGTACGGGGCATTTACAGATCAAATAGAATTATGAATCTATTGCAGATAGATTCATTTTTAACTTTTCAATCCGGCTACACCTGTGATATGCTATTGATAATTTTAGGATATAAGGCCATTTTAGGCTATATAAAAAAGAGGATCTAGAACATATGAACATCATGTACCAAAGTATCCAAGAATAAGATATGTATCCGATATGAACATGTCACCTTTGTCAAAGTATCTGTGTCACATAGCTTAAAGAGAAGTCCTTCTAAAGAAGGGCATACCCAAAAAAGTAATTTTTAGATAAGAACTTCCTGTTGTTAGGACGATCTTTTGTCTTTATATGGTAAGTGCTCATCAAGATAGATCAATATTTGAAGCAAATTTGTTGAAGTATTTTGGAAATGGTGGATATCTAATAGGGAAAAAAAGTTAAGAAAAGGTTACTCTTTTTTTTTTTTTTTTTTTTTTTTTTTTTTTTTTTTCATGGTGGGCTGGTCGATGGGTTGAGGGGGTTATGTGTGTTGGGTTGAGGGGGTGGGGGGTTCAACAATGGTATATATTCACGAGCCATAGTTATATTTTTCTTTATGCCTGGTGTATCATGTACCTGTAACCTGAGAGAGTCATATGTTTGCAACAGTAAATAAGATTGATGTATCGCTATCCAGAACCATTAGGCTTCATATGTAGAACAAAATGAACCTAGATGGAATAATTGCCTTTCCAGAGAATAGTTGACATATAATATACCTGGATGCAGAGGAAGTCAGCATTTAAATTTTTAAGGTCTGTGAGAACCGCTTGAGAACGAGCTTTCCACCTATGTTACCAAATTCAAACAGTCATATATCGGTAATGGAAAACATAACCATGAAGACATACAGAATACTTCAAACTATCAGCATTCAGGAATCTTTTTGGAGACTTTAAAAAAGAAGGAAAGCTAATTTTTTAAGTCTCGTGCAGCACAAAAAAAAATCAAAGTATTCTCAAAAAAAATTATAAGCAATCATAGACTCTAAATCAAGACTTCAAGCATGCAATGCCAAAAGTTAACTAAACAACTAAGAGATTTACTTGAGAGATGAAGATGGTGAGTGTGGGAAGTAAGAACTCTTCACATAAACCTGCATATTGTCAACGGTGTGAGTCAACATCCTCAGATATATACATAAACAAGCAATTCACCAATCCTAACAGGCCGATTTACAGCATTGGTACTGAAATTTAGAAGGCCAAACATAAAAAGGAAAATGTAAGCATGGATGTAAAATAACTTATTGATATATAAAAATGTCACATTTTATGGGCAATTCAATACAAAATAAACGGAAAAGTTTTAAAATAACTTGTGCTAAGTTATCCAGTTTCCTTGCAGAAAGAACGCAATTTCAAGAATAAGTCGGAGTCCTAAATTTCTGCAAGAGAGAATATCTACAATAAGAATAACTACCTGCGCCAAAATATTATATGACACCACACGGAACCTTGAATCTGCAGAAGAGATCCAAACCATTGAATTAAACATGAACACAGTATACAATGGTAATCAAAATTTCGAAAGTCTTTCTAAAACTCAAATTTAATCGATTACCCCCTCCATATTCACTAGAATGAGATATGTCCAACATGTAATGGAGCAGCAAAAAAAAAAGATCAAATTTTAGCTGAAATTGAACTAAATAACTAAATTGTGTTTACCTTTGAAAAGACTCGTGGTAGGATCTTCTCCAACTTCCAAAGAAACAAACTTCGGACAGATCGGCGCCGCCGGCTTTGCACTCATCTTGCGCTTGAAAACCCTACAGCAAGAACTAAACACGATGGGCATAAACAAAAACGCATTTTTTATGTGAAACAACTGCTGATACGTCAAATTCAATCAAATATTACAGAAAAGAAGGGGAAATGGTAAAGAGCTCATACGAAAATATAGGGATTTGAATGGAAACGCTAGCGAGATTTCAACGAGAAATAATAAAAAGTACCTGGAATTGGAAATATATGATGGGAAACGAGGAAGGAGAGTGAGAGTTCTGAGCATTCTAGGGTTTTAAATTTTCTGAATAATATAATGAAATTAAATAGGATATTTGAGCTTTGAGACTTGAGCTGAGAGCGGAGAGATGGCGGCATCCAATAGAAGTGGGCTGAGCTGGGCCCAGTACTATCTCTTAGCCTTGACCCATTAAGAATGTAATGGTAACTTTGCCTTGACCCATTAAGAATATAATTTTGTTATTGGGTTCACGAGAGATGGATCAGGCAACGAGCCCACATCATAATTGCCATATAAATGTGGAAATGTTAAAAATAACTTATTACTAAAAGTTATTGGAAAAATTGTGTCAATGCCTCAGAAACAAAATTTGATGTGTCTCAGCCCTTGGTATTAATTCTAATGTGTTGTTTGGGTCAGAAATTGTTGTTTTCATTGTCATAGAATCTATTATAACTTTAGTCGTTACAATAAACTCAAATAAATAAAAACTCGATCTTTTTATAAGATCTTCTTACACAATAAAAATATAAGATTACAATTCCTTCAAACAGCACACAACATATATTTATTGCCTGTTGTTTGCGTGGGATCTTTGCCTGTGTCGGGAACATTGATATCCGTGGGCCGTCACGGATCAGATCCGGTTGACAAATTGAAAATCAAAGCTCCTACTTCACGAAAGAAGTATTCACTAAAGTGGTAATCCTGATCAAACGAGATTACGACTCTTCTCGGGATTAAAGACTAAGCTTAAATCCGGAGGAATATGGGGGAAAGGGGTTTCAGATCTCTCGAACTCTCTTTTTGTTTATGGAGAAACTTCGCTAAGATTTGCTAACCCTCTGAAATTTATGGCTTCACTCTCAATTTTGACAGCACCTCGCTCTCTTGATGTCCGCCCTAGAAATGAGCCCCAAATCTTGAATTTATAGGCTTCGGTTGGGGTTTTTTTAGATAAGAACAATGGATTCCGTCTTATCTTCAATTAACAACTGCATAACTATGTTTAAATATAAGATTTAGGTAGTTAGGAACCTCCTAGACAGAAGAAAATCTCGTAAAAACCCGTCGAAACCGCCAAAATGTGTTTTCGGATCAGACCTGCACGTAAGTCACCATCTGGTGGCTCGGCCTTAGCTGGCCCTTGCCGAGTCTGATTTAGTATGACTCGGCCGCCAACGACTATTCTGGTTTTTCGGTATCTTGACTCATTGTGTTGTTTACACGTATTTCGTCGTTTCGCTGACTAGTACGCTTCTTTGATTCGCTTCGTGGTGGCTTCTCT